GTTAAGCCTCCATGTGTTTGTGAGCCTTTTTGTTTTCTTTGTACAATTTATTTCTAGTTTTATACCTTTGTGGTCTGAAAAGTTGGTTGGTAGGATTTCAATCTTTTGGAATTTACTGAGGCTCTTTTTGTGGCCTAGTATGTGGTCTATTCTGGAGAATGTTCCATGTGCACTTGAGAAGAATGTGTATCCTGTTGCTTTTGGATGTAGAATTCTATAGATCTCTATTAGGTCCATCTGTTCTAGTGTGTTGTTTAGTGCCTCCATGTCCTTACTTATTTTCTGACTGGTGGATCTGTCCTTTGTAGTCTCCTAAAATGAATGCGTTGCATTCTATTTCCTCCTCTAGTTCTGTTAGTATTTGTTTCACAGATACTGGTGCTCCTGTGTTGGGTGCATGTATATTTATAATGGTTATATCCTCTTGTTGGACTGACTCACCCCTGTATCATTATGTAATGTCCTTCTTTATCTCTTGTTACTTTCTTTGTTTTGAAGTCTATTTTGTCTGATACTAGTACTGCAACACCTGCTTTTTCCTCCCTGTTGTTTGCATGAAATATCTTTTTCCGTCCCTTGACTTTTAATCTGTGCATGGCTTTAGGTTTGAGTTTCTTGTAAGCAGCGTATAGATGGGTCTTGCATTTTTATCCATTCTATTACTCTGTGTCTTTTGATTGGGGCATTCAGTGCATTTACATTTAGGGTGATTATTGAAAGATATGTACTTATTGCCATTGCAGGCTTTAGATTCATGATTACCAAAGGTTCAAGGTTATCTTCTTTAGTATCTTACTGTCTAAGTTAACTCACTTATTGAGCTGTTATAAACACTCTCTGGTGCTTCTTTCTCTCCCTTCTTATTCCTCCTTGTCTATTCTTTATATGTTGGTTGTTTTATTCTGTGCTCTTGTGTTTCCTTTAACTGCTTTTGTGTGTAGTTGATTTTATTTCTTGCCTTTAGTTAGTATTTGGTTGGTCTGCTTTCTTTGCTGCGATTTTATGTTCTCTGGAGACATCTGTTTAGTCTTAGGAGTGCTCCCATCTAGAATAGTCCCTCTAGAATTCCCTGTAGAGGTGGTTTGTGGGAGGCAAATTCTCTCAACTCTTGCTTGTCTGGGAATTGTTTAATCCCTCCTTCATATTTAAATGATAATCATGCTGGATAAGTATTCTTTGTTCAAGGCCCTTTTGTTTCATTGCATTAAGTATATCATGCCATTCTCTTCTGGCCTGTAAGGTTTCCGTTGAGAAGTCTGATGATAGCCTGATGGGTTTTCCTTTGAAGGTGACTTTTTTTCCTCTGTAGCTGCCTTTAAAATTCTGTCCTTGTCGTTGATCTTTGCCATTTAAATTATTATGTGTCTTGGTGTTGTTCTCCTTGGGTTCCTTCTGTTTGGAGTTATGTGTACTTCCATGGACTGATCGATTATTTTCTCCCCCAGTTTGGGGAAGTTTTCCGCCATTATTTCTTCAAAGACACTTTCTATCCCTTTTTCTTTCTCTTCTTCTTCTGGTACCCCTATAATGTGGATATTGTTCCTTTTGGATTGGTCACACAGATTCCCTTAATATTCTTTCATTCCTGGAGATCCTTTTATCTCTCTCTGCATCAGCTTCTGTGTGTTCCTATTTTCTGGTTTCTATTCCATCAATGGCCTCTTGCATCTTATCCATTCTGCTTATAAATCCTTCCAGAGATTGTTTCATTTCTGTAATCTTCCTCCAGACGTCATCCCTTACCTCTTGTATATGTCTCTGCAGCTCCGTCAGCATGGTCATGACCTTTATTTTGAATTGTTTTTTAGGAAGACTGGTTAGGTCTATCTCCTCAGGGGTTGGCTCTGTGATTTTGGTCTGTATCAAATTCTTTTGCCTTTTCATGGCAGTAGAGGTAGTTGTGCGGGGCTGGCGCTGTGTTTTGGCTGGGAGAATGTCCCTTCTTGCTGGTTTGTGGCCTTCCTCTCCTGGGAGGATAGCGACCTCTAGCAGCTTGTGTTGGGGAGCTGCGTGCACTCGGGGCCTCTGATTCTTGCCTTGCAGCTGTGGAGTTAAGTTCGACGGTGGCTGTGGAGTTAATCTCCGCGGTTGCTATGGGCCTGACTGATCTTGTTCTGTTGTTCCAATATGGTGGAGCCTCGTTGGAGGGGATACAGGCGGGAGGCTGTTTATCCGTGATGGGCCTCCGAGCTGTGGTTCTGTCCATGGGGTTAGAGCGCCCGGTGTTCCCTGGGATTCCCAGCCGCTGGGCTAAGTGTCCCCTTAAGACTTTCAAAAAGCTCTTGTTCTTCTTTGTCCTGGATGTGCCAGCTGCGGGGACCCACTCACAGGTCTTACTGTCCTGTTTCTCTAGTATCCAGCACACCACGTACTGTATCTGTGCTCTGGTGTGGATGACTGGGGCTGGCTGTTTATCAGTCCTGGGCTCCCTCTCCCTCCCTGCTCTGACTCCTCTCCTCCCGCCGGGAGCTGGGGTGTGGGGCACTCGGGTCCCACCGGGCTGCGGCTTGTATCTCACCCCCTTCGCAAGGCGCTGGGTTCTCACAGGTGTGGATGTAGTCTGGCTGTTGTCCTGTGTTTTCTGGTCTATCCTTTAGGAATAGTTGTATTTGATGTATTTTCAAAAATATGTATGGTTTTGGGAGGAGATTTCCACTGCTCTACTCAATCTGCCATCTTGGCCCCACCCATATAGTTAACTTTTTAAGAAACTGTCAAACTATTTTCTAAAGTGGTTGTATCATTTTGTGTTCGTAACAGTGTATTACAGTTCCAGTTTCTCCACATCTTACATATCATGAGGTCTTTTTTTAAATAACATCTGTATTGAGAATCCACAAGTTAAACAACCATCATCACTATCTAAGTAGAACTTTCTTTTTTTTTGGAGTGATGAGGTTTTATTTTTGTGTTACTATTTTTTAGGTCCTTTTCTTTTTTTAATTTTTTAATTTTGGTATCATTAATGTGTAATTACTGAAACATTATTGTTACTAGACTCCCCCTATTATCAATTCCCCCCACATACCACATTACCGTTACTGTCCATCAGTCCATCAGTGTAATGAGATGCTGCAGAATCACTACTTGTCTTCTCTGTGTTGTACAGCCCTCCCCGTGCCCTCCTACATTATGTCTGCTAATTGTAATGCCGCTTTTTCCCCTTATCCCTCCCTTCTCACCCATCCTCCACAGTCCCTTTCCCTTTGGTAACTTTTAGTCCATTCTTGGGTACTGTGAGTCTGCTGCTGTTTTGTTCTTTCATTTTTTTCTTTGTTCTTATGCTGCACAGATGAGTGAAATTATTTGGTACTTGTCTTTTTCCGCCTGGCTTATTTCACTGAGCATTATACCTTCCAGCTCCATCCATGTTGTTGTAAATGGTAGGATTTATTTTCTTCTTATCAGTGAATAATATTCTATTGTGTGTATGTACCACATCTTTTTTATCCATTCATCTACTAAGTAGAACATTTTTATCACCATTCAAAGAAATCCTCTACCCATTAGCAGTCACTTCCACTCTCACCCTCCAGCTCCTTGGAACCACTAATCTATTTTCTGTGTGTATAGATTTGCCTGTTTGGAGATTTTATATAATTGGAGTCATACAACATGTGGTCTTTTGAGTCTGGCTTCTTTGACTTAGCATAATGTTTTCAAGGTTCATCCATCTTGGAGCTTGCAATTTATGCCTTATTAACACTCCTATATGGCTACGTCATATTTTATTTATTCATTCATCAGTTGGGCATTTGGATTGTTTCCACTTTTTGGATATTATGAATAATGCTATGAATATTTGTGTACAAGTTTGTATGAATGTTAACTTTCAATTCTCTTTGATGTGTATCTAGAAGTGGAGTTGCAGGATCTTATGGCTTCTCTGTTTAACTTTCTGAGCGATTGCCAAACTGTTCACCACATCATTGCATCATTGCATCATTTTATAATCTCACTAGAAATGTATGAGAGTTCCAGTTTTCCATATCCCGCCAACAGTTATTGTTTTTTTTTGATGATAGCCATCCTAATGAGTGTGAAGTGATACCTCATTGTGGTTTGATATATATTTCCCTGAAGGCTTAAGTTGAGCTGTCTCTTCTCTCCTGTGTTTGTTGGCTAGTTGTGTACCACCTCTGGAGAAATGTCCTTTCAAATCTTTTGCTTATTTTTAAAATTGGGTTGCCTCTTTGTTTTTGAGTTGTAAGCATTCTTTAAATATCCTGGATACAGGTCCCTTAGATTTCTCCCATTCTGTGTCTTGTCTTTTCACTCTCTTGACAGTGCCTCGTGAAGCAAAAGTTTTAATTTTGAAGTTCAGTTTCCCTAATTTTTAATTTTGTTGCTGGTCCTTTGGTGTCCTATGTAAGTCCTTACTTACTGCCTGGTACAGAGAGTTGGTGGGGGCACTGACGTGCCATCTTAAGCAGCTGTTTGTAGTCTGTCCTTGGAGCTCTGCTCCCTTTCATCTTCTCTGCATTCCATCTTTTTATCCTTCTCTGAACAGGAAGACTGTGGCCTTCCCATAGTTCCTTTGTTTACCTATCCTTACATTTCACAGGGTTAGCAGAAACGAACTAGTGTCTTTCCCAGTTCCAAAGTCCTGAGAGAAAATCTGTTTGGCTGGCTTGGCTCATGACTCTACCCCAGGTCAGTCAGCTGTGCCTGTGATTGTGTAGAGAACAGAGAAGATCACGCTGGCTGCTTTGTGTGGCTGGGTAGGACAGACCTCAGGTGTGGGTGGGCTTGGGCCAGGGTGACTCCAAAGCTGATCTCCTGTGGTGAGGTTCCAGCAGAGTCCCTCAGGAAGGTCAGTACATTGGGCTTGTAAGTAGCACAACTTTTTGACACCCAAAATAACCAACTGTGAGACAGGAAAAATGAGGCAGAAGACAAAACTTCATGTTTATAATGGATAAAGCTGACTTTGGGAAACATAGCTCTTCAGTATTGGCAAGTGGCTTCCTAATACTGAATCCTAGAATCAGGCAGATTGACCTACACCCTAATATGGTGCCAGCTGGCTGTTTTTCCCACTACTAGCTTCCTTCTGTAAAACCTAGAGCAGGTAGGAGCAGAGCTGAACATGGTGTTCAGTAATGGCTGGTGGCTCTCCAGGAAAATGGGAGGAAGAGGCTCCTTCCTGCTTCCTGTCCCAGACTCACCAATCAGATATATCCTTTCACCAGCCATGGGTAAGGGGGGCGGACACAGTTAGAGGGAGGCCCAGGGTATTAGAGTAATTAATTGAGCTCCTAAGAGGAGGCCTGGGGTTTTAATTAATTGAGCTCCCTTAGGTTTGGAAGTAAGCCTAAGATGTACAGGTTGTGTACATCCACCTTAACAATATGTGGAGGGTGAAACTGTTCGTAGCCCTGTTGATAGAATGAGTAAAATGGGATTTTCCTGATGTTGTGGGGGAATGAGGTTTAGTTGTGGGAGATTCTCTGGTGGGAGTGTGGCGAGTTTTGTAAAGGGACCACTGGCATCAGACAGCAATCGCTTGGGAAGTTTGGGTTAGTTTTCAAGCAGGGTGGTGGCTGCAGGCTTCCATGTGGGACAATGCCATTGTTGCCGCTGCTCTAGAGGGACAGGGGAAAGGAGCTTGAAGAAGAGATAATGAGATACACCCTGAGATCATGGATTCTTTTCTGAGCTAAGGTCTTTTGTCCCCTTTTTAACTATTATTTTAAAAAATCATATCATTGTAGCCCCAGTTTTTTCTGAAACTGTAACTGCCATGCTCCTTGGAACCTGTAGTCATAATTTGGGACACACAGAGCTCTCCTGAAGCTCAGACTGCTGACGTGTATCGGGCACCTGGCGCCTTGCTGTGGGCCCTAGGAGTAGACTGTGAAACTAGCTCTGTTTTCTCAGGTTGTGTATGAAAGGTGTGAGAAGCTGCGGCCCACCCTGTTCCGGCTGGCGAGTGACACTGCTGACGACGACGATGCGCTCGGTAATGTGCTTTTGCTCCTTCAGGATTGAGGACACAACAGACGCGGGCCTGTCTTCCTGCCTTTGTGCTGCTCTGGTGCCAGAGACAAGACAGATTGCTTCAGATTTTGTGGTGATTGGGCTTGGGAAGGCATGGCCTGAGTTTACTTAGAACTGATTTCCAGAAGAATCTGGGTTTGAGCAAGAAATCAGCAGGTTAAAAGCATAGAAAGGAATATATATTTACCATGTAGACTGAGTATGAGGGAAGAGAAGAAAGAAGGTACTGCTGAAGGCTTGAAGAGTGTTCTGAACATCCACAGAGGGCTAAGAAACACCTCTAAGTGGTGTCCTTGAAGGTTTCACTAAGTTAAGGGCCTTCAGGGGCTGGGTGGCAGGCAGATGAGGAATGGAAGGCACAGCAGGAGGCACAGCAGAGAGTTCAGTACCTGTACATAGGTAAAGAAGCATTGTAAGCTTTTTATTATGGAAAATCTCAAAACATAAAAAGGGAACTAGGAAAATAAATCTTATGTACTCTTCACCTATTGTTAGCAATTACTAACTCGTGGCCAAGATTTTGAACTTGTTTTTCTGTATTTGTCTCTCCTCTTACTTCCCCTCATTCTATTTTGAAGCAAATTCCAAATATTTCAAAGTAATCAAATAGTTCAGTCAGTGTTTAGATTTCCCTGAACATTGTCTCTAAACATCTCTTGGTGATCTCTTTTTATTTTAAACAATTTGTTCTGAATCAGACTGAAAGAAAAGCCACATTTGATTTGGTTGTTATTTCTTAACCTTCTTTTAATGGATAGCCCTGTGTTATTTATCACTTTTTCTTACATGGGAAACTTGTCCTTTGACTTGCAGAGTTTTTCTTGGTCTCAATTTTCTGATGGTATCTCCTATAGTATGTTATTGTTTTGGATAGTTCTTATGCATTCCTGATAGTCATAAATTGAATCGGGGCTTGATGAGATTCAGGTTCAATTGGGGCAGAGGTTGGGGAGCAAGAATACTTCATAGGTGGTGTTCTGGAGGCCCATGGTATCTGGTTGTCTGTTTTGGTGACTGTTGTCTAAATCCATTATTTTCTCTACATGTAATGAGGGCAGAGGTAATCAGATTTACATTTTTAAACAATTTACATGTGCCAAATAAAACAGTTTGCCAGGTGATTTCAACCCCATGCTGTCAGTTGACAACCTCCATCTGCAGTTTAAAAATCAGCAGGAAAGCAGTAGTTAGTCACTCCTGGGAAGTAATCTCCTAGCACTCTGGCCGGCAGTGTTCCAGATAGCCCCTGGCCCTGTGACTATTCTGTCTCTCTTTCCTAGGAGATATGTTTTTGCTGGTAAACCAGACTGAGATGCTCATGAATTTTCTGTAATCCAGTGCATATTTTATACAGGACATTTCAGTTTGGATACCACATTCATCATGGATAATTGATCCATATCTAGATGTTACAATAAATTTATAGGTGAAAAAGATTCATGTACTGATGTGTTCCCTGCACACTTAAAAGCTACCCAATAACTGAATAAAGTACCAAAACATTATTTTAATATTCTTATCCACATTGACAAAAGAGCTTTTAGTTTAATTTGTAATTAAAGTGAAAGTTTTACTTCCTCAGTTAGAGGAGCCCTGCTTCGAGTGATGACCATCATGTTGGACAGTCCAGGCATGGGAAATGAAAAGGTTTGTTCTTCCCACATTCTGAGAACTCATCAGGGATTGAGTGACTAGATCTGACATGGGCCTGATCGCATGATCTGGTAGCAGTAGGCATGAACCTGATCGAGCCAGGTGACAGCTACTTTGTAGAATGACTTAAAACAGACTGAGATTTTGAAATGGATTAAAGACTTCAATGTAAGTCATGAAACCATAAAACTCTTAGAAGACAACACAGGCAAACATCTCCTGAATATAAGCATGAGCAACTTCTTCCTGAACCCATCTCCTTGAGAAAGGGAAGCAAAAGCAAAAATGAAGTCATAGGACTACATCAAACTAAAAAGTTTTTGTACAGCAAAGGACATCATCAACAAAACAAAAAGGCATCCTCAGTGTGGGAGTGTGACATATCTGACAAGGGGTTAACATCCAAAATACATAAAGAACTTACACACCTCAACACCCAAAAATCAAATAACCCGATTAACAAATGGGCAGAGGATATGAAGAGACGATTCTCCAAAGAAGAAATTTAGATGGCCAACAGACACACACATGAAAAGATGGTCCACATCACTAATCATCAGGGAAATGCAAATTAAAACGACAATGAGATATCACCTCACACCAGTAAGGAGGGCCAGCATCGAAAAGACTTAAGAACAACATGCTGGCGAGGATGTGGAGAAAGGGGAACCCTCCTACACTGCTGGTGGGAATGTAAGCTAGTTCAACCATTGTGGAAAGCAATATGGAGGTTCCTCAAAAAACTAAAAATAGAAATTCTATTTGACTTCAGAATCCCACTTCTTGGAATATACCCAAAGAATACAACTTCTCAGATTCAAAAAGACATATGAACCCTATGTTCATTGCAGCACTTTTTACAATAACCAAGATATGAAAGCAACCTCTAAGTGTCCATCTGTAGATGAATGGATAAAGAAGATGTGGTACATATATACAATGGAATACTATTCAGCCATAAGAAAAACAAATCCTACCATTTGCAACAACATGGATGGAGCTGGAGGACATTATGCTCAGTGAAGTAAGCCAGGCAGAGAAAGACAAATACCAGATGATTTCTCTCATTTGTGGAGTATAAGAATGAAGCAAAACTGAAGGAACAAAATGGCAGCAGACTCAGAGACTCCAAGAATGAACTAGTGGTTACCAAAGGGGAGGGGTGTGGGAGAGTGGATTGGGAGGGAGGGAGAAAAGGGGACTGAGGTGTATTAAAAAAAAATAAAGAGCCTGAGATTATTGGTAGCTAAAGCAGGGGGTTCTGATTTTTCTCTCATTCTTCAGCGGAGATTCTCCAGGCAAATGACCTCCTCACCCAGGGAGTCCTCCTGTATAAACAAGTGATGGAGGGCCGCGTCATCTTTGGGAACACAGTGACCAGCTTGGTGGGAGACATACCTGTCTCCAGAGGTGTGTGCAAATACATGGATCCTCAAAACATTCCGGGTGATGGTAGAGAGATGAGAGAACTTCCCCGTTTCCCCTTTCCTTCGAGAACTGGTTTTATATACATACCTATGTCTGTGTGTGTGTAGCCAGTTTCTGCCATGTTACCATCACAAATTGACTGTCAGACTGGACCCTATCTTTGGCAATAAACAGAAGTAGATGGCTTTCTTGTGCCCAGGTTTGGGTTCATCTTCTCATGAGCACTTACTTATGGGAGCTTGAGACCAAAAAATGATCATCTTCAGTGGTTCCTAGTGACAGGCTGGCTGCATAGGATCCTCCGGAGTACTGGTTACAATGCAGTCTCGCAGGTGTCTAGCTTGGACCCTCTGAGTAAAGACTGCGTGGAGCTAGTCTTGGGGTTCTGCATTTTTATCAAGCACTCCAGATGATTCTGATTAGCTACCTTCAGAAGCCTCAAAAGGTCTTTGAGTTGAAGTTTGCTCTGCTGCTGTCCCAAGTTGAATGGACCATTGGAGAAGGACTCAGTGCCTGCGGGGGTGGAAGGCAGTCATCTGACCACGTCAGATTCTAGGCTTTATACCTCAAACCATTAACTGAGGTGGAAGGTTCTTTGGGGGTATGTTGAGGGTGGGGGCGATGTGATGTCTGTTGATTGGGAAGAGGCCTAAGGAAAGCTGATAGGCTTTTATGTGGAAACTTTGCTCTCATTCTGACTGACTTGTTTTCCTAACTCTGATTTCTAGTCTTTCAGAATCCAACAGGCAGCATGAAGAGCTGCTCCCTGATTGACTTGGAGGAGGACAACAGATCTGAGCAGGCTGGGACTGGAGCACCATCTTTACTCCATCAGGACCTGGCGGCCTTAGGTGAGGGTGGGTGTTTTGGGAGAACAGGCCAGACTCCCAGGGAAGGTGGTGAGCAGGCTGCTTCCCCTCAGGGAGAGGATTCCTGCCTTTAAAAGGAATTAGATATACAATGCTCCTCCCTTAAAAGCAGTTTGGGTTTCTGAGGTTTCTGTTACCCATGTTCAACCAAGTCTGGAATCAGGTGATCCTCCTCCTGACATACTGTCAGAAAGTCAGTAGTAGCCTAACACTACGTCCCAGCAGCCACGTCACTCACATCACTTCCTCCCCTCATGTAGGCACTTTATCATTTTGCATGATCACAATAAAGGTGAGTGCAGGAAATGAGGTACTTAGTGAGATGGAGACTCATATAACTTTATTACAGTATATTGTTATAATTGTTCTATTTTATTATTAGTTATTGTTGTTAATCTCTTACTGGGCTTAATTTTTAAGTTAAACTTTATCACAGGAATATATGTATAGGAAAAAACTGTGTGTGTATGTGTGTATATATATATGTGTGTGTGTGTTTATGTGTGTATATACACTTCCATACACGTAGGGTTTGGTACTGTGATCACGGAGGCACTTTATCCCATGACCAAGGCTGAATGCAGTAAATGAGATATTTTGAGAGGGAGATCATGTTCATGTATCTTTTATTGTAGCATATTGTTATAATTCCATTTTATTATTATTGTTACTCTCTTCCTATGCCTAATTACAAATTAACTTTTATCATAGGTATGTATGTCTGTGTAAGAAAAATGTAGTATACATAGGGTTCAGTACTGTGCCATTTCAGGTGGATAGATCCCACTGAGGATCTTGGAATGTATGGAGAGTTCTGAGAAGTCCTCTTTGCATTTAGCCTCAGGTTTACCATGAATGAGTTGAATGACTGTGGGTAGTTCACTTTGTCTGGGCTTTTTAAATGTTCTAGAAAGGGTGAGCATGGTATTAACCTTCAGTTTGTATCAGGTAGAGTTACTGGTGTGCATCTCAGTCTCTTCTTCCTTGCAGGACTCAGCGATGCTCCAGTTACCAACAAGGTGAGGAAGCTTTTCCCAGGGGCTGGGGAGTGGGATGGGGAGCGTTGCTCAAACCTACCTCCTATGAGGGCAGCTCTGTGTTGGGGGGGAGGAGGCTAGAGAACCACCGGTGGCACTTGTGGACCTGGAGGTCCAAAATGTCTTCACTGTCCTGTCTGGCTCGAGCCCCAGATTTCCTCTCTTTGCACCCCCACCTTCTAGCTCCTGCTTACCAAAAGTCTGCACAGGAGGTGCTTGTAACCCTTTTTTTCTCCTCCTGCCCCAGAAAATGTCCTAACCTTGGGCTGTGGTGGCTTTGGCGGGGTCAGGAGAGCTGTGCTCTAGTGTTAGTCAGGCTCGTAGTCGTTCATACCCAGGCCTCATTTTAGCCATTCCTGGTGTGACAGGTTGCCAGTCAGAATTGCTGTAAGGAAAAGAGGAATCCCACTGCCAGCGCACTGCCGGGTGGTGGTGTTCAGAGCCCTTCTGCAGAACGGAACTTGCTGGATCTCGACTCCCGGCAGCCTTCTCGGGGCCCTCTGTGAGTCTTGTGGGCAAGGAAGTAGGAGTGGCTCCATGTGCAGTTCATGCTTATTGCATGAGGGCTGGGCAGAGGGGCCGGGATGGCACTCTGGAGGGGTTTCTTTCTACCCAGAGTTCAGTATGTGCTCCCCTCTTCTTCTTTTACTCCCCACCCTGAGTCAGAGGGAAATATAAGCTTTGGCCAGGACCTCTGAAAAGGGGTTTAAGGAGTAGCAGCAGTAAATGAAGATGATGTTTTTTGAAAAGTTACAATGTTATTTGAAATTAAGCAAAATTTGGTCACCAGGGAAGTAGATAATCATGGAAAGTCCCAAGTATAACTAGCTAAAGAAAATGTTGAATGCTTCCTCTCGTGCTTTTTTTTTTTTTTTTTGCTGTACATGCAGTAATGTGTTGCTGTGGCTTATTTTTATGCAAATGGATCCTAATTTACAAACTGTATTGCACTGTTTTTTTCATATCACATAAAAATTTAATTGACACTTCCATATCACTCTATATAAATTTACCTCATTCTTTCTAGTCATATAATAATTCATATACATACATTTAGTCATTTCCCTTATTGTGGATATTTACATAGCTTCCAGTTTGGAGGCACTTGGGGGAGCATTCCTATAGTGCAGATTCTTAAAAGTAGAGGTGCCTAAGATAGAATATAAACACATTTTCATCAATCTTGTCACTTTGCCTCTGGAAAGACTGAAGCAGGTCCCCTTCCCCCAACCCGCATGAGAGTGCCGGTGTCCCAGGCACAGACCACAGGCTGGGGGAGATGGACGTGTGCGGGGAGGTGTTCTTCTTTGCTCCCACTGGGGTTCGCTTTCCAATTAAGTCTAACCACTCAGCAGGGAGCCAATAATCATCCTAATTTTAATTTTGATGGGTTGTTTGTCTGGACTTCAGTTTTCCAGAAATGTTTCCCAGTTTGTATTCCCAATGGAAAAATCATGAAGTATGAATGAAGTGGTCAGCGTGGTTTATCTTTCTAGCTGATGTCACTCTGGTGATTATGTGTGGGGAACATAACCCGACTGATCTACTTGTCATCAAAGGTTTCCTGATGACTTTTAATATTAGTTACTGTAGTAAAAGCTCTAGTTTATTTTGTCCTTATTATGTGCACACACTGTACTAAGTGCTTTTCAGACATTTTCTCATTAAATTTTTTTTAACAACTATGTGAGGTGTAGATACTAGATCATTACCATTTTACAGATGAGAGTACTAGGAAATGGTTAGATTACTCATCTAAAACCATAGACCTCTAAAATACATACACACACACACGTACAGAAATATTTACCTTTTTTTTTTCCCTTTTCCCTGTTTTTCAGAAAGCCTAATCACAGATTCATGGAATTCTCTACAATGTTTGCTAGTCTTCATATTTATTTCCTTGCAGGAATTACATTCCACAGAAAAGTATCCCGAAGGATGTGCCACCAGGTACTAAGTCCTCTCCAGGTTGGTCCTGGGAAGCTGGCCCGTTGACTTCTTCCCCATCTTCCCAGAATACACCTCTGGCTCAAGTGTTTGTCCCTTTGGAGTCTGTTAAGCCCAGTAAGTACTGTTTCAACCCTTTTCTTTCTTTTCTGTCTGTTAGATGGCCAACTTTATCCATGCTGGATTGGTAGGGGTGCCTCTTAAGCCGGGGAAGATGAGTGGTGGAGGTTTGCCTGGAGACAGAGGATACGGAGCTGGCTTTATAGTCTCTAACCTAATATTTTTCTTGAAGTTTTCAATCTTGGGTTTGACACTGAGTATATTAGCAGGCAGAGTTTAATTAAGGGGCTTGAGTCTACTTGGAATTCAAGAAGGGAATGTTCAGTCTGGCCTGAAATAACTCAGAAGAGTTGGATTTAGAAGGAAAGGAAGAATCTGGCTGGTGTGCCACTTCCTCTAGAGATCCTCATTAAAGCAGGAAAGTAGATACTTACTTCCCTTACAGGGTAACTGGAGACCCAGCCAAGTAAGGGAATGGCCCACAGTCAGTACACCAGCATGTGAACAGGAAGAAGTGGGTTCTTTAGATCTGGGGCCTTTTACTCTCTGGACACGGGGCCCTCCTGTGTCTTGGTGTGGCAAGGTCAGCTTGCATAGGGTACTGTAACCAAGCAGAGGAATTTAAACTGTCAGGAAGCAGTGGGAACCCTTTGCATGCTTGAATTTTTTATTTAAACATAAACATGTTCAGTGTTAATTTCCTGGTTTCAATAATTGTCCTGAGGCTATGTAAAATCAACATTTGAGGAAGCTAGGTGAGAAAAATACGGGAATTTTTTGTTTTGTAGCTTTTTATAAATCTTTTATTATTATAAAAAGAAAGTAAAACAAAATTAAGAGCTAAGAAGGCATATTCATTGTAGAAGTTTTTGAAAAGAACAGAAAATTAAAATCAGTGTACCATTACCATCCAGAGATGTTCTATCAATGTATTTTCTTGTCTTATCCATGTACACATATATATTTTTAATAACTTGAAGTATAGTATATATAGACTATTTCATATCCTGATTTATTTACTATTAGAAGCCATACATTTTTTCATGCTCTTAATTGTTCAGAACCTTGATTTTTGTTTCTTAATGAATCCATATATACCGTATATATATATATATATATATTACATTAAACAGTTTTACCATGATTCATTCAGTTTCTCTCTGAAGGATAATTTGTTTCCAGTTGTTTATTGTTAAAAATAGTGCTACACTGAACATCTTTGACACACATTTTTTAAACTTTCTAATTATTTCTTTAGGATGTATTCTTTATTTTTTTTTTGTATCATTAATCTACAGTTACATGAGCGACATTGTAATTACTAGACTCCCTCCATCATCAAGTCCCCATCACATACCCCATTACAGTCACTGTCCATCAGCGTAGTAAGATGCTGTAGAATCACTACTGGTCTTCTCTGTGTTGTACAGCCCTCCCCGTGCCTCCCACCGCCAACATTATGTCTGCTAATCGTAATGGCCCTATTCCCCCCTTTAGGGATGTATTCTTAAAAGTGGAAATGTTGGTTATAGACATGTAAATTTTGATCTCCAACACCAAGTTCCCTTCTAGAATGGTTGCCTTTTCCCCCACACCCTCATCACCATACATACCTCAGGAGTATTTTCAGTCTTTTAAAAGTCTTTGATAGTTAATTGTTAGACTATATTTTATAATGAGCATCTTGATAAGTAATGTTTGGCATGAGATAAGGATCTTCATTAAAATTTTTTCCACATGATTAGCCAGTTGTCTGCCATTTAGTAGACCAGCCACTGATTTTGAAATGTGTTCTTAACATGTTAAATTTTCATATTTGTCTGTTCTGCATGCTCTGTTTTATACTCCTTGGCTTGAATTAGAAATAAGTATTTGTTAATGCAAATAGCCCTACCTCTCTTTTTTTTATGGTTAGTCTCATTTTTTTCCCCAAATTTAACTTTAGAATCATTGCTTAACTAAATTAAAACAATCCCTTCAGGATTTCCACTGGAATGTCCTTAAACCTGTTCATTTGAAGGGTTCTGCTGTCTTTAGTTTTGTAAAATTGAATATAAGAGGTAAGCTTGTATACAGTCACAGAAAAGTGAACAGAAGGAAATTGACCCAAGTGAATGCAGGGCTTACTTTGGGTATCATAAAGGGTAAAGGGTGTGTTTTGTTTGATTCTTTATGGTAGTAGCTTGTATTTTCTATGGCCCTCAGATGTTATTTGAATCATAATCATACCTCCCTGAGGAAAAAAAAAACAACTGGTAATGTGCTTGGGATGGTGGGATGGTACCTGGTGGGGAGAGATCCGTTTGGAGGGTCATCACAGTCCAGCTGGAAGGGATGAGGACTTAGTTTATGGTGGTGCAGGAAGGCGATGGTGGAGGGGTGGTGTCAGGTGATGATGTGCATGTGCCCTCTGGGCACTGCTGTCAAGAGCTAGCGGTGGTGTCACCCCTCTGGTTGGGTCCTTCTCCCCCAGGCAGCCTGCCTCCTGTGACCGTGTATGACCGCAATGGGTTCCGGATCCTGCTCCACTTCTCCCAGACAGCGGCCCCTGGCTGCCCAGAGGTGCAGGTGCTGCTGCTGACCATGATGAGCACTGCCGCCCAGCCTGTCTGGGACATTATGTTTCAGGTGGCTGTGCCCAAGGTGAGTACTGTGCTGGCCAGCTCCTTTGCGTTTTCAATAAAGGTTATTATTTTTGAGCAAGAGGTCCTTTGCTGGGACAATGTATTAGATTTAAGGGACGGAATCGTCCCTCAGAGTACTTCAAGATAAAATGGGAATTTAATTGACTTGTTTAACTGGGGGTTCCTGAGTATCTGACTTCAGATGTGGCTGGATCCAGGTAGATTCGTAAGTGGTTCCTTAAGAGTCTGCCTCTTTCCGTCCCTTAACTGCTTTCCTCTTTGGAACCAGACACTCTTCACAAAGCAGGAAAAGTGCCTTGGCTACCGTAGCTCCAGAGTTACATGTTCCTTAACCCTTTTAGCTCAGGGAGAAACCCACCTGGCATGAGGCATACATACTGACTACCCAGGAGAGGGCTAGGATTGGCCTTGTTTGTGTTACTTGCTTACCTTGGACCAATAACTTGTGTTCACTGTGAGGTACTCTGGCCAATTTGGGTATCATGTCTACCCCTTTTCAAGAGAAATAGGCCCCACTGATTAACAGCCATACCAGGAACACAAGAAATAGGGAAGGAGCAAGCACTGAAAGGAAAGATCAAGGCAGGCAAAGAGATGCTTTTCTACTCCTCATGGTAGTGTTATAGAGCATGTACTAGTATGTCTGTTTTATGAATTACCAGTGTAAGACTCAGAAAGGTTTAATGTTATACTCATAGTCAGAGAGCTAGTAACAGGCAGTTAGAATTCCACCCAAGATATGCCCTAATTCTTCGCTGCCTCTCAGAAGCCAGCCATTGACCACACAACTGCAGATACATTCTACATATGGAAGGGAGGTTGTTTGGATCCTTTGGTCTGTTGGTGGAGTAGAGGTCAAGCTTTCCTGTTGGCCTGATCTCCATCCTTGAAGCTGTAGTTTATTAGGAATGAGTTACGGTGTATTTTCCCTCGACAGTCAATGAGAGTGAAGCTGCAGCCAGCATCCAGTTCCAAGCTTCCTGCCTTCAGCCCCTTGCTGCCTCCAGCTGTGATCTCTCAGATGCTGCTGCTTGACAATCCACACAAAGTATGTTCTGGTATCTTTGATGTCAGGGAAATGGGGGCCCCTGACCTCTAGGGAGGCAGCCTGGTAGGTAGAGAGAGTTACATTGAGCTCTTGCCCTGTTGTCTCTGGTTTGGAGGTGGTAGTGGTCTATCCCCTGCTAGAGTCTGTTTTCCTTTGGAACTTATTGAAAGAATCTCTGTGACCAGATTGCCATAGCTGGGAGCTGAAGGGGTGGCACAAACTCTCCCCAGTACCATGGCGTCTTCAGAAAGAGTGAAGCCTGTCTGTCTTCCTTAGCTGGTCTGAGTTGTGGCCCCTATCAGGCCTGCAGAAGTGTGGGAGGACTCCCAGATGTTCGCCTGGCTCCACATGTGTCTGCAGTCCGAGAGGGACGAGGCCAGAGGGTTCTTTCGTATAATTTGACACACTCACTTGGATGGAGTTAGTGTACATAGACTATTCCTTGGTGACTGCTGGGTGGGTAAGGGCTTATTACTCTGGACTGGTCTCTGTTGCTCCACACTATTAATACCTTATGTCTTTGTCCAGGAGCCCATCCGTTTACGGTATAAGCTGACATTCAACCAAGGCGGACAGCCTTTCAGTGAAGTTGGAGAAGTGAAAGACTTTCCTGACCTGGCGGTCTTGGGTGCGGCCTAACTTTTCATGGCAGACCCTGCCATTCAAGCTTAGGGCAGCATTACTTTTGCTGTCCAGATGGGACTAATCACAGTGATTTTGTGCAGAGTGCCAAGAGTCCTATCCTGACATCAGGCTCTGGATTCCAACCTGTGACTTATTCTGGAGAGAGAGAGAGAGAGAGAGAGAGTGAGAGAGTGTGTGTCTGTGTGTGTGTGTGGTGTCGTGGGGGTGGGGCATTGAGGGGAATGAAAAACAGGGCGTGGGAATGGGCAGTGTGAGAAATGCTGAGCATTCCTGAGAGCCATCTGCTACAGTCATGCTGTTTCTGCCTGTTGGCGGGCACATGTCCCTCCTCAGGTTGGAGGTTTTATAAGCCAAAGCTGTTTCCATGTATTGTCGTCTTTTCATTCATCCACCCTGTGCCTTGTCAGCCTTTGAAAGTCTAGGTTGCTCCCAGGCTGCTGTTCTCAGGGACCTGAAAAGGGACCTGGTTGGTCTTGGGGCAGAGAGTGTCTTGTGGGGCCCTCTCTTCCAAGAAAGACCTTGTCTCCATTTTCCATTCGCAAATGCTGCTTGCGTGTGTTTGAGATCTTCTAAATGGAATGCTTGTTGCACTGCTTACCAGGCAAGGGGCTGCCGCTAGACCAGAGGACCACACTTAGTGGGCCAATCATGTCCTTCACCACTGTGCCTTAGAATCACCCATAGACGGACCTTCTAGGGCAGAGGGGAAGCAGATCCCAGGCCTTCCTCAGGCATCAGGTTCTGTGGGCTGGGCAGCCTGTCTGGGGGCCCTTACTCAGGACCCTTCTCTCCATCCTCACCTCTGTCCACAAGCATTTACTGAACTCTCTGACTGTGACACCATGCCAGCCACTGTAATAATACTGAACAGGCTCACCCTTGCCTGTTGACTTCACAATCCAGGAAGAAAAACTGTGATGCACATAGATGTGAAAAGAGCTTAGCAGTGATCTAAATGGCAACTAAACATAGACAGTCATTGAATAAAATCTCATGTAGCAAATACACTTTGTGGAGTATTGAGTAAGTAGGAGATACAAAGCCCATTGCAGTATGAGGAAGTAAGGAAGACTTCATGGAGAATGTGGGACCTTAAGGATTGCCTCAGTGGAGACAGAGGCCCAGAGTTGCTGGACAAAGCTGGGAAAGAGAGGTGGATTTCTGTTATATTTATGGTTTGAAGAACACATTCAGGTTAACAATACTTAGCTCCTACTATATGCTAGGCAGCCTGTGCATGTTTTACAAGTCCTGCTTTGCCTGGTGAGTGGGAGGAGAAAGCTGAGCCTGCCTGAAATGGCCTGCAACTCACCTTGAAATCCGAGCAGCTCACCTGTCTGGGTAAGATTTTACGTCCGAAACTGGAAGGCTCTGTTTGGGGCTCTTTATCAGAGTCTCATATTTCACAGTCTGATCTTCCAACTTCTACATATAGGAGGTCCACCAACACTAATTGGTGGGAATGGGAGCTTCAGGGCATGCTAAATATTTATTTATTTATTTATTTTGATGTCATTAATTGACAGTTACATGAGGAA